AAATAAGAGAGCTGGTGTTCATTTACTCTGGGCTGCCCTTAGGGTCTCTGAGTTCAGTCTTTTCTCCCTCCTCCCTAATTTTTTAAATCGTTTCTCCTTCCTACCTAGTTTTTCGGTCGTTCCTCCCTCCTCCCTAATTTTTGCGACTGTTTCTCCCTCTTCTCCCTAAACCTAGCTTGTATAGCTACCTTGAATGTGCCTTGAAAGTATATTCAGAATCTGTTACATTCTACGGTGCTTTGTTAAAGGTGGATCTCAAATGTACAACTCCGGCGAATGGGCCATCCTATTATCGTGAATGTTTAGCGAAAGTCGGAGAGAAACGACAACGGGCAGATGCCAATCGATTGAAGGTCGGAGACCGAGTATCCATATGCCTTGAAGCTGAAGTACTAAAGACTATGTCCCAGAGACATGGCGGCTGGATTGAAGATATGGCTAAGGTTAGAGTGTTAAGATAGGTCTTCTGCTGAACGTCTACAACGTTCAATATAGCCCTTATGCATGACTACGTCAATTGCTTCGATGAGAGTTCAAACTCTCGCTCTCGTTTGGCATGAAACTCTTATGCACTCTCATTGACTCTCATGCGCCGGCTCTCGTAGAATTTGAACCTATTTATATTATTCTTGAGAGTAGCCTGCGAGCAAGCTCTCATAACGCCAAGAGAGCGCCAAGAGAGCTTGCTCGCAGGCTATCTTGAGAGTCGTTGAGAGTTTTCTCTCGTTTGGCTAACGCTTCGTGATAGTCGATGAGAGTTGAAGAAAACTCTCATAAAAATTGAGAGCCATCTAAGACTCATCAAATCTCATCCTCTTTATAATTAAGGCTAACCGTAATTATTAGCTAACCCAAATTCTAACCCAAACCTAATAAGTTACCCGTTGCCCGTTAGCTGTAAGAAATACTTGTTCAAACAATGTTTCTTTTGAAACTAATCCTAGATCATCCTTGTCTGAATTGTTTGTTCGTGTGTGTTATTTTCCAGTGTATAGGTAAAATCGGTACAATCAGTAAAATCGGCGATGCGGGCGATGTTCACATCAGCTATGGACTACAATCATGGGTCTTCCATCCAGATGCTGTTACTAAGGTATGTGCATATCTTACTTTATTTTTTATATTTTAATTTCTAATTTGCCTTTTAAGAAAATTTCAATACAGTCCTTGTCTCCAAGGCTTAGGAGAATAAAACAAAATAAATTGTTTATTTATCCCTCAACCTCGATTTGGTTTGTTTAATTTTATTCCCCTAAGCAGAATTTTAATATATCGGAAGCGGGGGAAGAATTGAATTCGCGCGAAGAGAGACGTCTGTTTATATACATAAGATAAGATAAGATAAGATAATTTATTTAACGTCGATAAACATGGGAGTGGTCGCCCAATCTCCCGAGCCAGGGGCTCATGTTAAAAACGCTCGACTTAAATTACAGTAAACAATTTACAAACATTAAGTATCTAATTATTGCAATCCATAATCTTAAAATAAATAATAAATAAATAAATATAATAAGTAAATAAAAAGTTACCAATCAAAGTTAACTAAAATATAGGTGTGACAATAAGCAATAAGTTATCGTAAATTGGGCCTATACACAGTTGTTGCATTGACAACCCAAAAAAACTAACTCCCTTAATTAGGGTACGAAACTCGGACAAGGAAGTAGCCGATTTAGCATTAGTAGGTAATTATTGGTTCCAGATATGTGATATAATATAAGAAAACGAGTTATACATATATAGAGAGGATATTACACGGCGGCGTGAAGATATGAATTTTATTTTCGAGTGGTTAAAACAATATTTTACGAACGAGCGCAGCGAGTGAGTAAAATATTGTTTTTACCACGAGAAAATAAAATTCATATCTTCAAGCCACTGTGTAATTTTCTTTTTATTATATAGACAAAAGACAAAAGCACAAACTTTATCGCAAACTCTTGCAGCTCGTGGCTGGACTTTCCGAATTTCTCTCCTTTCGTCTTCACTTGCAAGGAACTCCTTGAATAATTTTAAGTCATGAAGTTTTCTTCTTCGTGTAACATTTTCCTACTCCTCAGTGAACGATTTCATGTCGGCTTCAGTGAATTTCACGAATCTATCGCTCGCCATTTTTCAACCGGAGTTTGGCAGCTTTGCACAAAAAGCCATGCAAAAGCGGGAAATGACGTCATCGATATCCTCACTAGTGAGGATATGGAAAATACGCCACTCGGGTCCCGGATGTAGTTTCGTATGAATTTTACGAGTGGTCTATTTTCCAGTAAAACACTCGTGTCTATATAATAAAAACTTATATAGGAAGGCTGAGTAACATTGAGACCAGAACTACGTAGGTTGTAGGGTGTAAGACGAGGGCTAAAAAAATTGCAATATAAATAGGGCCCTGCATCTTGAAGCATTTAAAAAATAATATGAGCGATTGTTCAAATCGTCTCTGCTCCAATGAATCCATAGAAGCCATAGATAGACAAGTGCCATAATTTATAGTGTTACCTAAATTTAAAAGCGTTCGTAAAGCGTAGTGATTAACATTTTCTAACTTATTACATAATGCCTTAGATATTCCAAGAAGAATAGGAGAACAATATTCCAAATGTGGCAATACATAGCTCTTATGTAGTGAAATCATCGTACTAAGCGGCACAAAACGCTTGATTCTGCGCAGAGCACTGACAATCTTAGCGTACGCTTTCTTTAGCATACAGTTGAACCCCGTTAATTCGAACTCTCAGGGGGAACGGAAAATAGTTCGAATTAGCGGAGGTTCGAAATAACCGGGTCAGCGTTAAATATCAAAATAATCATTAATAATTAACATGATGGAATAACTTGTACCTTATTACAATTGTTATATCAAGAAATTGACAAAATATAGTACATTCGTTATGAAATAGCAAATTTCTATACTGTTATTGACAACCGGAACTGTGCGCAATGGAACAAGATATATAAATTACAAAATAAGTGCAATAAAAAGGTTATAAATAAGTTCAGTGCGCTTCCAGCTGTGTTCTGATGCCGTTTGATGTTTGGCCATCAACTTTTTTAATTAGAGTTCAAAATAAATTGATTTTAGGCCAAGGGAAACACAATTAGTTCGAAATAGCGGGGAATTCGAAATAACCGAGTTCGAAATAGCCGATGGTAAATGACTGAAAAAACAGGGGAAAATCCTAGGGAAATGGGTTTGAGTTCGAAATAACGGGGAATTCGAAATAACCGAGTTTGAATTAGCGGGGTTCAACTGTATTAGAAATATGGGACTTGTACGAGAGGGACTTATCCAGAGTTACACCGAGTATCTTGAGTGTAGGCTCAATCTCAATCAACTTTGCATCAATGGAGAACTCATAATTAAACTGGGATTTTTCCCAGAGTCATAGCTTGAGTTTTGGAAGCATTTATTTGAAGGAAGTTCCCAGTAAACCATTCACTCAAGCTCTTTAAGTCTTGGTTAACATTAAATTCAAGGGATGTTAGACAAACATTAGCCGCATATTGAGTAGTGTTGAAAAGCAACAATGTCTGCGTGGGAGGCTAGCTACCTTGAGGTACGCCACAGCGAACTGGCAGCCAGTCTGAGTAGGCCCCATCGCATTTGACTCGTTGATATCTATGTGATAGATACAACTGAATCAGAGCAACGGCAGAATCACGCAAACCGTAAGCTTTCAGCTTTGCCAAGAGAAGATTATGACAAATCGAGTCAAACGCTTTCGATAGATCGATTGCTACAATGCCATCGTCCTTTTTCTGATCGAGAGCAGCACGTCAATCATCTGTGAGCTTCAGCAAGAAAATGTTTTGAATCAAGTCAAAACAGTTTTGCTTCACGGACGCAAATTTTGCTTCCGAAACATATGTTTCCCCATTTAGCCACGGGGAAACAATTTTGCTAGTTTAGCCACCTGAGAGCAACGAGACATTTCTTGTGCTTCCCGCTAGTTTAGTCACCCAGGAAACATTACAGGAAACAATGTTTCTGCAACAATGTTTCCTAGTTTAGTGCAACATTGCCGGCGTGTACTGCTGGCAGTATAGACTACCAATAATTATAACTACGCACTTGAGCGTCCAGTAATTATTTTCTGATTTTGCAGATCCCAACATTTCAGACTGGAGATAAAGTGATAGTGTTGAACGACAAACAACTCGTGCAAAACCTACAGCAAAAACATGGCTTGAATGAGTCAATGGCAGTGGTAGGCATTCTCTTGGGACCTTTTTGGTGTTTATTTAAACATTCACTGCGCCGTCTTGAAGAGAGTTTTCCGTTCAGTCGATTTTTATTAATCAAGCCGTAACTACACCATGGTTTCGCAGACTGTTTGGATGCGGGGGACGAGCGAATTCCTGTGTTAGCCATCATTCCCGTATGTACTGCGGGGCTCCCTTGTACGGCGATCGTAGCGCAAAATATGTCGATTTTTCGGACCATCTGGACAATACCAAGAGAGGATGATCTAACAATAGTCTCTTCTAATGATAATTTTTTGAAAGATATTTTTAATTTCAGTCCGTAGCAGAGCTATTTTAAGAGCGCTACCTGATTGGTCAGTTCGAGTATCCTGATGTCGGAGCCTGGATCAGAAGGAAATAAAAATAACTTTCACAGCATGGCGTGAAACTATTAATAAATTTCAAAAAAATATCATGGCGCACAGAGAATCCTTCTCTTAGATCATCCTCTCTTGACCATATTTTAAAGTTTTCACTGGTCAAAACGCCAAAGTTACCGGACTATTGTCCGATAACAGAGTGTTATTTTTAGGTTTGTAACCTTGTTCTAAGTGATATGAAACCATTTTTACTCAGGCGTTAGGGAAGCACGGGATGATCCTAGCGGTGAACACAGATGGTAATGCTGTTGTCAAGGTGGGCACGGACCAATGGCTGTTTAACCCAGCAGCGTTGGAGGCTACATCACAACGAGGCGAAACAGAGTCACCAGGTAAGCAAACCAGAAGCAAACTGACTCAAAATATTTTCTACCTGGTTAGCTCAGTTGGTAGAGTGCCGGACTGCAGTGCGGGAGATCGCGGGTTCTATTCCAGGCCGGACCACAAGCTAGGGTCTTAAAATAACTGGTAAGATCATGCTGGCTGTTCTCAACACTTTGTCTCAGTTCAGATGATCCCGTCATTGGACGGTGACGTTAAGCCGTTGGCCTAGTCAGTCTCCTTCATCCTACACGTCATGATCAATTCGAAGGGGACGTAAAATAACCCACGACACTGTTTGAAAAGAGCTGGGCAAGAGGTTCCCGATGTCCTAGTCCACACAGCACTGCTGCCAATACCTACTTCATTTATATGGAGAAATCTAAACAATTCGCGAGAAAAATCAACCAACTAGATTGCCAGAAAATAAACGGGAAAGGACGGCCGCGCAGTTCAACCGTACAATAAACAATTATTGGATAAGGTCGGTTTGTGTTATCCGCCTCAGGTCTCGACTTTGGCAGTTAACAAAAACCTTGGCCTTGATAATTCTTGCTATCATGCAAAAACCGATTGAAACGTTTTGGAGCTTTTTCCTTCGATGGGCATCTTTTCTACATGTTTAACTCTCGATGTCTGTAGATATGACTCTCAACTGCATGCAGAAATCCTATTTTCTGTAGGTAGGTTTTTTTATTACCTTATTTTCACTAATTTTCGTGAAATTGACAGATCCGTATTTCGCGAGGCTTTATTTTCGCGATTTCAACGAAACGAAAAAAGGACTTTAATTAAAATTTTGCGTAAAATATCGGTTTTCGCGTTTTAGTGCAAAGTGCGCTATAGGTATGGTTATGTGTAGGGCCGATAACTCTGAGTGATAAGTCGCTGGTTCGCTGGTTCGCTAGCTCGCTAGCTCGCTAGTTCGCTAGTCACTATGCCGTAAACTTTGATAATCAATTAATTAATTAATACGAATTAATAAATATTGGAGGTCACGCGAGCTCACCACGCAAAACGTGGGTGATCTATCTGCGTTATTACTACTTGCATTCAGCGCAATATATATTTGTTTCAGACGACGCTTTGCCTTCCTTATGGTAGCTTTCTGCTTACATGTAAATTTCACGCATGCGCTAAAGATCTGTAGTACGTTACTAATAACAAGTACATCGCAGATATAATTGATTTATTTTTTCACGCAATGTAACTAAAAGAAAAAGCTTCATGATAGATTTCGAAACAGTTTGGGATCATAAGGAATTTTCAGAAAGGAACATTTTGATCGCGAAAGTATGACGTATCTATGAAGTGCAAATTGGGCACTCTTAGCTATAATTGTCAATGAATGGGACAACTTGTCATTTTCCGCGTATTTACTGTTGTCTGCTCGCAGGCCAGAGATAAAACTGAATTTCTAGCGTTACAATGATATTTTTGAACGAAATTTAAATTAAATTAGAAGTAATCAGTGTTCGAAATTAGCGTTTCGTTCAGCCTGTAAAAACGTTTGTACCGTTTGGTTCGCATCTCCATGCGCAAAATTCACATCGTGTTACACTAAAAATAGATCCACGAAAGCGTTCATGCGTGTCATGTGACACTTTAGACGAAATTTGCATATTACTACTTTGTGACGTGTCTCACTACCGTCTCACGTACACATTTTCAAACACAGATTCAAACAGCAACCATTCTTTCCCGCACATGTTCGTTTCAGCTTTCACATGTATTCTTGTCGCAGCGGAGAAATATGTCCTGTTCCGTGACGATTTGATAATTCAATTAGTTGTTGTTTTTCGGTTGATTGAAAATTTACGTTTTTTCAGCAGGATTTTCACTTTCTATTTATTTCCGACTTAATCGGTTCCTTGTAAATATGGATCTTGAAAGCAAAATGAAATGAGATACTTGTTTTTCAAGAGGTCAAAACAATTTAATGAGATTAAAACAATTGTTTAATTAAATTAAAACCAGAGATGTTTTTTTACATCAGATGGTGTTTTTCTGTGGGTTGAAGTCAATAATTTTTTTTCTTCAAGATAATCGAAGTATTTGAAGTTTGTGAGTGTTCTGCTATATGAACTGTTGTTAAATTCAAGCACTTTAGTGTATGAATAATATTTTGTAGCATGTCTGGGTCAAAAGGTCATCAATGTAATAATGAAATTTACATGAATATTTGAAGGCTTTCCAATACAAGGGTGTAAAATACACTATTCACTACACATTTTAAAACTGTTTATACACTAAATATTTATTGGTAAACCAGAACTAAAAGGGTGAATGTTTTAAATTTGAAATGAAATATATTTTTTTAATTGACCTTGTCCCATGTAACGCACATGTTGTCACGTATTCACGCACAGCTGTCACGTATTCTTATGTAACTGTGTCTTTGTCTAGTAGCATTTAATATAGGGAAGAAATATGTAAAGACAATTTCTTGTCACAGATCAGACCCATATTTTTCTAGCAATGGGGTTTTGTACTCTCACCCACCAGCCTAGGTTCGGTTGGGAGGGAATAGGGGGGAGGGTGGGGGCGACAGCTACGTGTCACCTACATGTATATTGATAGGTGGGTGATTACATTCTGTACTTACCCTTTGAGTATCCGAGTTAATATCACCCTCACTGCCGTCACAATCTACACAGAAACAAGAACGACTACTCAGGAATTTCTCTGTAGCCGTTCACAGCTTATTTGACGACTTGCGTCTGAAAACAATTGTTCTATATTCTGAGTGATCAGATGCGAATTTGCCACGCCGCTGAATGCAAAAATGATAAGACAAGATTTTACCTACAAAAGCGAGGTGGTTTCATACGACGGAAAAGCGGAGAAAATAGTCGATGAACTGTTTCTCGTCCACTGGGCTCCCCCGGGGCCGGCTGGAAAATAAGGACTGGACACTGGACTATCGACTAACTTGCAAATTTAAATTAAACACTTTGCACTAGCCATTGTGTCTCTGGGTTTGCTACATCGCGAAAACCACGAAAATTACTACTCGCAAAAATAAGTGAGAATAAGGCACATCAAAAAAGAGAGCAGAACAAGACGGCTACCAACTCAAACGAGCGAAAACGCAAATGGGACAATTCCCGAGACAGGCGGACTGAAGACGGAAAAGACCTCGCAGAGCCACCGAAGCTACTTCCATCGATGCAAAGATAGAGAAGTCTAAACTTTCCATTGAGAAATTGAAGACTCACATTGAGAACAATACTTGCCCAAAGACTTTAAGATACAATGCGCGCGCTAACATCGCGCCAGATGATGAGTTCAAAAAGGAAGTAGGCTCTATTAGAAAGAAAGCCGAGCAGGAATTCGTTCGCTCTCTAGCCACATTTCACTACAGGCGCATTGAGCGCCTTACAACTAAACGAAGAAAGGTTGAGCAGGAAAAGTCTCGCGAGAAAAACACTGCTTTCCGTAATAGGAAAAACATTAGGCCGCCTTCGGCGACCAGAACAGACGGAAATGTTATCAGTTGTGTACAGATATACATGATTTAGCGTCTAGCATCCAGGATACCAGGAGGATAAGATAGACAAGTTCTCACAAATGATGTCAAAATATGAGTCAAAGAATAAAGAAAATTCACGTTATCCTTGTCTGTTTTCTGTCTCTACGAAGGGAAACGATAAGGCCGGGGAAGAACAGTAAAACACATGCGATGAAAAATCAAAAAAGAAAAGAGCGGAAAAATATTAAACGCATAGAACAAACCAACAAAACCATAAAATCACGCAAGCAACACATAAAAACCTCTCAGATCAGACACACAATTGACAGCAGAACAAACCAATTTACTCTCTCGAGGTTTGAAATTCGTTCCAACGTCTGTCATGTATGCTCGTCCGAATGTGACAAAATATCAGGTTGACCGGTTTTTTATGTCAAGCTATATTTTTATACATCAAATTCTGATATTCATGCCATTTTGTCATATATTTATGTCAAGTTGACCACTTTTTTATGTCAAGGTATATTTATATACATCACATTTTTATATTCATGTCATTTTGTCATATATTTATGTCAAAACAATTTCTTCTATCTCGGTTTCATTTTTTATATGTCAAGCAACTTTTTCATAAATCACATTTTCATCAATCAAATAAATCATTGTTTCATACATGAAGTAGTAATTTTGTCATGTCTGGTTGGTGCACATTTTTATACATCAAAAGAAAGGGGAGATCAGCTTTTGATCAGCTTTGGATAAGGAGTCTGGGAACCAGCACAACAGAAACAACATGGCGGCGACGGCGGCGAGTATTCACTGAGTTCTTCTGGTTCTTTGTCCCCAACGTTGGAGAGTTTTTTGCTAATGTCTTATCTGTGTTTCACCAGTGCACAACTCTAGACAAGTAATGATGGCGACCGAGCCGAATTGTTAGCGCGAAGAATGGAACAATATGAAGAAACGTTGCGTGCAGTATCAGCGGATAACCGAAATTAACACGTCCTGATCACAACAAGCTCTCACATATGATTTAGAGTAGTTCATGAACGCTATCAGGCAAATCGTAGAAAGACTGGAAGGCCTCTAGTGAGAATGGCGACGATGAAGTTCTGATAACAGGTGCAAACGCTAGTATTTCCTTCCCGACACAATCTGGACGTGTACAGGACGGCCAGCCTTTTGGGATTACAGAGGAACAGACACAAGCACTCCGAGAAGGTGTAGGATTCAGATGGACTGATATTGCAATGATACTGGGCGTTTCTACAAGAACTCTCTCCCGTTGTCACCAGGCGTTGGGTTAGCCTGTTGACCAGGATTGTAAGTACTTTGATTCGCGGCACTCGACTGTACAATCTAGGGGTTTAGAATACAGGGGATCAAGTCATTTCAGCTTTACATAGGTTAGATCCAGTGATGTCTACCCTGAGACAAACAAGGCTAATAATTCGTAGAACCTACAATATCCCCTGCCCTAATTCGCTCTGGTGAGTGTTATGTTTTGGTTGAATGTGTATGTAAGTTTATTAGGATTTCAATCCCTAAAATAGTTTGAAAGTTCAGCTAACGTATCCGAACATAAGCCATTTATCTGCACAAAAAGCACAATAATTATTACAACGTAAAAACGACGTTCCAACACCTACAG